TTTGTTGGACTGAGGTTAGAGAGAGGAAAATGATTGGGCCATACTTGGTACAGGACACTTCTAATCAGATCAGAATGATTAGAGATAAATTAAAATAGACACAGAGTCGCCAGAAGAGCTATTATGATCACAAGCATCGACCTCTGGAGTTTGCAAAGGGTGAGTATGTCTTTGTGAGGTTGTCATCTGTGACATGTGTGGGACATGCTCTTGGAGTAAGGAAGCTGAGTCCCAGATTTATTGGACCCTATCAGATAATCAAAAGAGTATGACCGGTCGCGTATCAACTTGCCTTACCTCCACAGTTATCCGGTATTCATGATGTATTCCACGTGTTTCAGCTTTGGAGATATATTTGGGATGAATCCCATGTTGTTCAGCCTGACGAGGTTCAAATACGGGAGAATCTTAAGACTCCCGTGGGGCCGTGGGAAATTCTTGACAGAGATGAAAGGAAGTTGAGAAATAAGATTATTTATATAATCAAAATTCAGTGGGAAGGTAGGACACAATAGGAGGCTACTTGAGAGTGTGAGGATGAGATCCTCCGGCTATATCCTGAGTTTGTTTCCAGGTATGATCCTAATTTTGCGAACAAAATCCTAAAAATGTGGGGTGATTATAATGACCCTAACCGGTAATTATGGAGTTTATGAAATTATTGTGGAATAATAATAATTAATGAAGAATTAATTAGAGTGGTAATTTGATGAAAAGATTAAAGCCACATAGTAAAAATGAGTTAAAAATGACAGTTAAGGGGTAAAAATAAGAGTAATCAAAGTTACCCAAAAAGTTAAAGTAAAATCAGAAATATTACTACAAAAATGTTCTGGACTAATGTGTATAGTTGGAATGAGAGTTAAGTGAGCGGGATAGATAAGTGTGTACCCACTTGGTGAGTACAACTCACTTAAAGTACCCTAAACCATTTCAACCCTCTCACTTCTCTCTTCCTCACCCGACGGTAGCCCCTCCTCCATTGCAAGAAAGTTGGCAATTTTCTAAAAATCATAGAGAGAACTAGAGACCTCCAAATCACTTGGTTCCAAAGCCAAAAGTGTGCCAAATATTCTCCTCTTTCTAACCCATAGCTTATTTTCGGTTGGGGTTCATTGTGGAGAGAGATTTTCCACCTCTTCCATTTCGAGTTAGTGAAGGATTTTGAGGATTTTGGGTGTTTTGAGTGCATTGGAGCTTGGAGTCTTTTTCCTCTAACATTCTACGACGAATTATGGTAAGTTTCCGCTCACTCAAACCTCATTATTATAGAATTTCAATAATCTCAGGTTTTATATGAATAGTAACTCGAAATTTGATGGTCAGATGTATTAGAGGTTGTTTTGCATATGATGTCCTTTATTAAACATGCTTAGAAATGCATCTTGTGAAAGGAAAATAAAAGAAATCATTGTTTACCTCACTATAGAAAATCATGGGTTTTTTTGCTATATGTCAATTTCAAAAATCTGAAGGCTTGAGTAGTTGGAGGGTGATTTGTATGTGAGCCCCTTTGTTAAACATGCTTGGAATTGGTTCTCAAAAATGGAAAAATTATGAAATCGCCATTTAGAACACTTTGATAAATTGGACTCAAAATCAAGTGATATTAAAGTGTGAAAACCTTGGTTTTGTGTAGGATTCACCTTGAGTTTATAAATGTGAATATTGATGGATATGTGTTCATTGGTTATAGTGTGAAACCAAGTGGACTAGTGGAGCAAGAGCATGGATTAGATCAAGCTATGGACATTGACCAAAGCTCTTGATTGTTTTGGATTAAGGTAAGTATCAACAATGGTTTGAAATGAGACTTACATAATGAATATGTGATTAATTGTGATAATATTCACCTTGAAATAGGTGTTGTGATTATTAATAGAGCATTATGTTGGCTCGTGGACCTTACTTAGCTTGGAAGAGGCTTGGTTTGAGAGCTAATCCAGGTAAGTTTTCGGTCCTTAGGGTTAATCCCTTATTTATTCCTCCAGACTTTGAGGGAGGATGATTCTTTGATATAGTATGTTGAAAATGATTTGTTATATGTTGCTTGTATATGTATGTATGTTTGTGTGCCACACAAGACGGTGTTTCCTTGTTTGAGCCATAAGACGGTGTTTCCTTATGCATAGTATGAGACAGTGTTTCCTCATACGATATGTTGCAAGACGGTGTTTCCTTACGTAATGCATACTTGTTATATTCTCTTGCCAGTAGCATTTATTATTTGCACATTGCATTGTCATATATATTCTGATGCATGCATGAATTTTATACTTGTGATTATACCAGAAGTGAGCTTAGGTGTGGAGGATCCCTCCAAGGATCCCTAGCTTACTGAGGTAATTATATTATCTCACCCTATGTTATGGGGATTACCATTTCAGGTACAAGAGCTGAGGGTGCTAAAGCATCCTGTGACAAGAGGTCCAAGGAGATATATTACCTAACTTGATAGTCAGGATTAGCTTGTTATTTTGATATATACTTGACAGGATCCTATTTTGGATATGTATATATACCATATTATTCTTATGGAGAGCAAATGGAGTGTCTATGACATGTCGATAGTCTGTAGATGCTGTTAGTGATGCATGGTTAGGTCTATGTTACTTATTGAATTGCATCTCTTTTATTTATTTGATGAAATTATATAAGTAACATCGTGGACATTATTTTTAGACAGTATGATTATGAGATAGCCTAAGCCATGGATAGCTGGGCATTATGTTTATCTATGTTATGTTAGGCTTGAGGTGTATTTGACATGTTAATCAGGTGAAAATTTTATGATGGGTAATATCCCAGAGGTCCAAAATACAGATGAAATGCGGTCCGTTTTATTTTGTCCATTGATGTGTAAAGTTTGCAATACATAAGGAAAAAGAAAAAGTTAACCAGATAGCTTTAGCATTTAATTTATAAAGTATGTTGCGCGTATTATCATATGAATGTTAATTAACCGGCTACAGACGAGACGTTACAGAAATGATTTATTATGACTATTAAAAAAAATTACCCATCTCAACCTCTGGTGTTTGGGTTAGTTATCATAATTGACCAACAAAAAAGATGAGGCTTCTCAAATTTTCACCCTCTGTTTGCAATGGTTCTTATGATGAACCTTTACCTCAGGATGCAATGATTTTTGGGTTAGTTATCATAATTCCCTAGCAAAAAAGATGAGGATTCTCAAATTTTCACCCTCTAATGGTAATGGTTCTTCAGTTGATGATGAACCTTTACCTCAAGATGCAAATTTTCATGCTGTGAGTCTCAGTGATGAGCTTGAGACTTCAATCTTAACCATATTTCGAACATCACAACACTAGAAACTGTGTTTTCTAAATAAGTGGTTCTTGAATCTTATTTAGAGTGGTGAGATCTATAAAATAAGGAGAGAGTATGTATTCAAAGAACCAACTATGTTTATGTTAGCTAGTGATGAGAGCAATTGGTGGGGCTGTTTTGGAGGTATGATTTTGAAACTGATGAATGGCTCAAGGGTAATCAACCCAAGGTGTCTTTTTTGCATTAGCTATGTTTGGGAACTTGCTTTTGTTGCTTGTGGTCTCGAGACAAACACTTATAATTTTTTTAAGTGCGCCCAATGATTTAAATTATTGGGTCCACCACTGGTGGGGACACTTTGTGAGAATATTTTTCTTACATTGTGATGTTCCCATTTTGTAATTTGTCATTAATTTCATCATTTTTGTCTACTTGTAGACCTGAGTTTTTCAATAATAATTCATTGTACGGGAGTATTTGTGAATGAACTCAAAAACTGATCAATTATAGAGGAAAGTGAAATTCATGCATTTCATAACTTATATACTTTATTTTAAAATTCTATCATTAATTAAGGAGTTAGAGAATGACGATAATAGTGTAAAATTATGGTGGAAAATTACTAGCTTAAGATTTCAAGATGAGTTAAAACAGATTTCACAGGATAATTGTGCCTTAGAGATGGCTAATTATTATGGAATACAAAATAAATAGATATGAAGTTGGTTTCTGGAACATGTTGTGGCATTACCAATTATTGTCAACTTAAGAATTTCTTCTAGTTCATCATGACATTAATGCTGACAAGTGCCACATGGTAGAGTATGAGGCCCTTTGCATACACAAACATTTTCATATGGAATTTGAACCAATGAGTATGTTCCCAATTTGGAATTGATAATGTTTACTAAAGATGCTTTTGTATTTTCCACATGCATTCAGAAGAAACGAGAAACGTCTCGATTTCGCAATCCTAGATTTTGCGGGTTCTTCATTCTTTTCTTTAAAAAAATATTTATTTTTTAAATGTTTAGTTAAAAAATTATTTGACCGGAGTTTTAAGTATAAGACATACATACATAATACACATAATAATAAACAATTAAAATTTATTAATTTTATTTTTCTTAACTTATTATATTCTTTATGTCTAGTTTCTAGTTTAATTAAATATGAAAGCCGTAGTTATATTTATAACCAATTTAACATTATCATTCTTATTATATTTTTAATTATTTAAATCCATTGATTTAAGTATGATCTAACGATTATTAAGGAGATAATAAAAGTGGTAAGCTTATGTTTGTTGTTTAGTATAACTGTTCCCAATTATATGAATAGATATCTCTTTAAAAGCATTAATGCTGGAATAATTGATGGATTTATTGTGCCAATTATCACTACACATACGTTTCTTTATTCAAATTTCAGATGAGATTAATATTTGTTCTTACATAAAATTATATTATTTTAATGATCAAAACTATTATGTTTTATGATTTTATATTGAGAGAAATAGAAATTATAGTAAGAAAAAGTAAGATATTTTTTTAATAACAAAAAAATAAATTAATCATTGTATGCAAGTGCAAGCTGTGCCAGCAAATTTTACAAAAAAGCAACTAAATACAAATAAATAAATAAATAAATATATAAAGAAACTTACTATATAACACGTGTAGGGACGTTTCCACAAGCCATCGAGAATTTGCAATTCTATCAGACAAATCCAGTTTCCTAAGACTGATCCTACAAAAGCACAAACCTATTGAAGGAAAAGCAAATTCTGATCGCTTTTTTTTCTGTCAAACAAAACTCGTTTTCCACTTTTTGTCTCAGTTTTCAATGAATTGAGAGTGAGAATCACATAATCAGTTTCATCAAGTGTTTTGGTTTTGATAATCTGATCAAAAAGCCATGAGAAAAGAGGACAGCACCCCATTACTGCAGACCCAATATGAAGATTCTATGAATCATGTCAAAAGAACTGGTTTGTGTTGTTGTAATCTTAATATTTTATTTTATTTTTTTTGTGTAATTTTCTTCCTTGAAAAAAGAAATGCACAAGATATATAACATATAGAATATGAAATTATGAATCATAGTTCTGCTTCCTCTGTATTATTATCATTATTATTTATTTATATTATCATGTTGAAAATTTTATGGAGTGGAATTGAGAAATGAATACGTGTGTGTTGGTTTCATGGTGAACTTGTGAATCATAATAGGGACAGTGTGGACTGCAGTGGCACATATAGTGACAGGGGTTATAGGATCAGGAGTGTTATCTCTGGCATGGAGCATTGCACAACTTGGATGGATTGGAGGGCCATTAACAATTCTCCTTGTTGCTTCAATCACTCTTCTTTCTGCTTTTCTTCTTAGCAACACTTACCGTTCTCCAGATCCTGAATATGGCCCTCAGAGGAGTTCCTCTTACCTTGATGCTGTTAATTTGCATAAAGGTAAGATTTTTAAGATTTCATTTCACTTTCAATATGACCCCTTTATTTGTTCCTCCAATCAAAACAAAAAATAAAATAAAATAAAAACAAATTTTTTTTTCTTCTTGGTATATTTATTTTGTTTATCAGTTTCATTTCAATGTCCATGTTATGTTATAGCCTTTTTGGTTACTTCAAAGTGACTTGTGATCTGATAAGATAAAGTAAAGAAAATCATGGATGAGATCTGAGACCTTTTTTTATTTTATTTTATTATTTTACTTTTCAATAAAAAAAATGTGAAGTGATAGTGATAAGCGATTATGTGGCTTTTGACTTGGACTAATTAACATGTGAGTTAGGGGTGAAAGGGCATTTTTGACATGTGTTATGTGTGATGTGTCCAATATCTAAGGAGTTCGGTTGTGTCACGGCAACTATATCCTCCGCTTCTGTTGTATTCAGATCCTCAATCTTCTTTCCCTTTTAAATCCTTCCACATGGATCTTGCTCATTACACCTTCACCCTTCTCTTTCTCCATAGTCTATACCAAACTACATAATAAAGTTAGACTTTTAAAATATCAATCTTAAATGATGAGCTAGGGAAAACTTGATTAATGACTAGTTGTTAATTAATTCATATAACTAGTCAATCATTCACTGATTAGGTGGTCTGATTTATTTATCCTTGTCATCATCTTAGTTAGTGACTTCTCAAAAAATCTCCTTATAAATTTTTTATCCTAAAGTTCTTAAGCTAGAAGGCGATATTAATTTTATACATAGGATATATAATAAATTTTTATTTAGTTCTCCCAATAATATATCAAGTACTATCTCTTATATATCTTATAGAATAGAGTTTCCTCTAAGGATTTATTTGGTCCATGATGAAGATAAAATATATTCATGAGCTATAACTTATAAATCTGAGCTATTATGTTCAATATTCTTTAATAATACAATTACAGAGAATAGGCATGAACTTCATGTTAAAAGGGTATGGTGATTATTATTATTTTGAAGGTTCTGCTGTATATATGTTTTTTCTATACACGGAAAAGAAAAATATTACCTTCTTAATCATCAACTGTTGTTACCAAGTAAAAGAACAAGTCTGAGAATTGTACACTTTAAAAAAAATCACTCTCCATTAAATCCGACTAGCGAGTGTGCGGTGGAGGAAATCCTTGTACGCAGTCTTATCCTTGCATAATTGCAAAGAGGCTGTTTCCTGTATTCGAACTCATGACCTTTCAGTCATGAAGAAATAGTTTTACCACTGTTTTTTGCATAATTGTACACTTTATATTTGCTAATTTAAATGTTGGGGTTATGATTAACGAGAGGTCTGGTGAAAGACATCATGGTGAATTGCTGATGATGATAATAATGAAAGCAATGATAGATGAGCCATGGTGGTATTGATAGTGGAGCTATGGTGGGTTATATGTTCTATTTAATTGCAGAACTTTCCTTCTTTTGGCTTCTTTCCTTTTCATAGCATTAAGCTTAACAATGTGTTGGTGTCAATCAAGTGTTAATATTTCATCTAGTGAGTTTGTATATCATGTTTTTGATCAAAAGTGCCATCACATTTGGAACAGCATCTTAAGATGTTTCTATAGGCAAGACTGCTATAACATTAATCTCATTGGGTGGTTACAGGAGTAGGGAATTCACGCCTCTGTGCTGTTTTTCTGAATATAAGCTTATATGGTTTTGGAATTGCCTACGTCATTACCTCAGCTATCAGTATGAGGTGTGTTCAGTAACTTATCACCCTGATTTCTCTACATTCCTTTACCTTTATCTATGGGATGTACTTGTTGCAAACTAAGATTTCTCAATTGTAGAATCTCACTATACCAATATTTCTAAATAATTAACTTCATTAATTTGGACTGCTATTTGTGTTTGTGACTACAGAGCAATCCAAGAATCAAACTGTTACCAAAAAAATGGGATTGAAGGAAAATGTGAATTTGATGAAGCACATTTCATGCTTATTTTTGGGGTTGTCCAAATTATTCTCTCACAGATACCCAACTTCCATGACATTCAATGGCTGTCAATTCTCGCAGCAATTATGTCCTTTGCTTATGCTTTCATAGGAATGGGGCTTGCCATTCTGCAAATCATAGGTATGCTCATCAATACCTGATTACTGGTGTCTTCCCTCAGGCATATAATGATATTACCTTAAGCTTGGACAGTTGCTTGAAAAGTATATGTCAGAGTAAATATTTGTTTTGACCGACCAAATGTATTTAATTTTCTGGTATCATTTGCTCAGAAAATGGACGTGTTGAGGGTAGCATTGAAGGAATCACTACTACCAGTGGAACTGAAAAATTATGGCTGGTTGCTCAAGCACTTGGTGATATAGCATTCTCCTATCCATTTGCAGTAATTCTTATAGAAATACAGGTATGTATCCTGTGATCTAAGATAGCCAGAATGTAACTTTACCACAATCTAAGGGAAAAAGTAAACAATTCTAAGGGCTAATATAACTCACTGCAATTATTGAAGGATACTTTGAAGTCGCCTCCACCAGAAAGCCAAACCATGAGGAAGGCCTCAACAATATCAGTCCTTATCACAACATTTTTCTACCTTTGTTGTGGGTGCTGTGGTTATGCAGCCTTTGGAAATGATACACCTGGAAACCTTTTAACAGGGTTTGCATCCTATAGGCCTCATTGGCTTGTAGACTTTGCAAATGCTTGTATAGTGGTTCACCTAGTTGGTGCATATCAGGTATCATCCCCAAATTTTATTATGGTGCTTTATGTATCTGCTATCCTTACTTTCTCCACCACTTGTCTTGCAAAATTAGTGTCATATATCATCTTGTTCTGGTGCAGGTTTATAGCCAGCCACTTTTTGCCAATGTTGAGAATTGGTTTCGTTTCAAGTTCCCAGACAGTCATTTTGTGAATCATTCATACCTCTTGAAACTCCCATTGCTGCCAGCTTTTCCACTAAATCTTCTCAGGCTCTCTTTCCGAACTGCTTATGTTGCATCAACGACTGTGATTGCAATGACCTTTCCCTACTTCAATCAGATTTTGGGAGTTCTTGCTGGCATAATGTTTTGGCCATTAAGCATACATTTTCCGGTGGAAATGTACTTGAGTCAGTGCAATATTGAAGCATGGACGGTTAAGTGGGTTCTGCTCAGGACTTTTAGCATTATTTGCTTTTTGGTGGGATTGTTCACTCTCATTGGATCCATTGAAGGGGTAGTAACTGCAAAACTAGGCTGAGAAGCTTTAAGACCTCTTGGAAGTTGAAACAGAAGAATTAGACTATGGTAGCACTTTTTAATTTGAAAACCAACATTAAACATAGGGTTATGCCTGGGAGTAGCTTCTTAGTTACCCAATTTTTATAGCAAACATAAAGAATTATGCCTGGGACAATGATGAATTTAAGGTTCTCTTGCTCAGGTCTTCAAGATTGTAGCAGTAAGATGTGTAATTGAGTTGAAGATGCTTACAATTGCGTTTGTTTCTTGGAATAATCTTAAGAACTAGTTAGTTTCATCTGTAATACTGAAAAGTAGCTGTTAAGATTCAAATTGTTGTCATGAAAGCACAAAGTTGAGCAGGTCTGTTTTTTGAAGCTGGAACCACACCTTCAGTTCACTCAAGACTTGAGACCTGAGTTAGGTGTCCTCTACCAGAATAAATGAACTCCGCTTCCACTTTCATTGTTTGGGAAAAATCTCAGCTTCACATGACCTTTTGAGTTCTTTTTATTTTATCTTATTGAAAGTTTCATTAATATAAGATTGAGCTAAATAAACAATAAAGGGAACTATAATGACAGTATCATTAAATGGGGTGAGTTGCACATCAGACTCTAATTTTCAGAGGTTTAATTAGATGACCAAGGGAATATTATATAATTTGGTGAGTCGTTAACACCAGGATCCTAAATACCCCTACAATGCGCAAATGTTCTCACGAGAAATAAATTACAAGACAAGAATAATAACCATTCAAACTGGTTCCTATGGTAAGTTTTCTAAAATAACAGAAGAAAAACTATTGCTACACTTTAATATGTAAGCTGCAAGTAATATATATTAAAACAATTTTAGTGAATCTACTTATAAATTAATCAAATTTTAATTTTAGATAACCAACTATCTATCACCTGGTAGCCAGAATCATAGTTATATCAAGTAATCTAGTTGTGAAAAGGAACATAAATTTTTTTGGAGAAATGTTGTGTAGCTCCAAAGTGAAGTGCATCTTCCCCCACGTGGGGGATCGGATCCACCTCACTCCTCTCTTCCCATGTTCTCTTGTGCTACGTGGCCTAGAATAGAGGCAATATTGAAACTCGATAACTAGGACTTTACTCAAGAAAGACTGAGACACCGCACGTGAAACAACCTTGACATCTGCAACGTTAGATAGAATCTAACCTTGCCATTCTTCCTCTGAAGTGGGGTCAGGTGGTTTTGTGTGATCAAAGCAGAAACCTACCCAACATATGCATTAAGCACACAAACTATGAGTAAAAGGGTCAACAAAGAGAGAGAAAGAGAAAGAGAAAGAGAGATGTTGACCGAGCATCTTGTGGGTGAGCTACCTGCCTATCTCACACGCTCAATGGCGTTGAATTCTTTAATATAATCATGCGCCTTTGATGCCTTTGGGCCTTTACCATGTACCCCATGCAATTCTAATTGGCACACCTTATATATAAAGAATAGTAAGCCTCTACCAAAAAATACAGAGAAGTAGAAAAAACAAAAAACCAACTCAAGGAAATATTCCACGTCTTCCCTTTTTGCCTCAAAGAATTGAAAGACTGGTAGAGAGAGTTCACAAGTTGTTGTGGAAGAAAGAAAGACAATTCTTATACTTGATACTTCACTCCATTATTCTAGTCCTCTCTAGCCCTCAAAATTGGCATCTCTTTTGAATAGTAGAATTATCATATAGAAAGAAAGAAAAAATACAGAAATGGGCCGTATTCCATGCTGTGAGAAGGATAACGTAAAAAGAGGGCAGTGGACACCTGAGGAAGATAACAAGCTCTCTTCCTACATTTCTCTACATGGAACTCGCAACTGGCGTCTCATCCCCAAGAATGCTGGTTAGTCCCTCTACATTTTCTCCCTGTCTGCTGGATCTAGATTCTATATCTATATCATTCATGTCAATGTCAATAAAAACAAACTTTTATATTGATTTTGCTATGAGATAGGCCTCCAGAGATGTGGCAAGAGCTGCCGGCTAAGGTGGACTAATTATCTTCGTCCTGATCTTAAACATGGACAATTCTCGGATTCAGAAGAACAAACTATTGTGAAGCTTCATTCAGTTTTTGGTAACAGGTACATTAAATATTACCCATAAATTGAAATTAATGTTAATGCGCATGTAACATTGGGGATTCTTCTCTTTATCTTATTGTTCCCTTGAATGCTTACTTGAACGGATGTTCAGATGGTCATTGATAGCAGCCCAGCTGCCAGGACGCACTGACAATGATGTCAAAAACCACTGGAACACCAAGCTAAAAAAGAAACTGTCAGGCATGGGTATAGACCCTGTCACCCACAAGCCATTCTCTCATCTAATGGCTGAAATTGCCAACACATTGGCACCACCACAGGCAGCTCACCTAGCTGAAGCAGCCCTCGGCTGCTTCAAAGATGAGGTGCTCCACCTTCTTACCAAGAAGCCAATTAACTTCCAGGGCCAACATTCGACTGCAACACTGGCGAATAACATCACCGATTACATTAATTTTAAGCCAGAAGAAAAGGACGACACTGTTGAGAAGATTAAGCTTGACCTGTCAAAGGCCATACAACAAGAACCTGAAATGATACACTCAAATAAACCTTGGGACTCCACTGCAGCAACATCTGCATGTTTTGCAATGCCATACAGTGTTTTTCCAACAATGCCTGGGTTTCAATTTAGTCCAGCATCTTTTGGCAATAAAGAGGATGCATCACCATGGAGCCAAAGTGTATGTACTGGAAGCACATGCACAGCCATGGATCAGCAAAACCAGTTGCATGAAAAACTTGAAGAAGAAAATGGGGACGATTCTGAGGCTACAAAGGAAATTAGAAATCTATCAAATATATTCAACCCGGACTGCGTCGTTTGGGATTTACCAGCAGATGATTTAATTAACCACATGGTATAAGAAACATTACAGAACAAAGGCTAGAAGCTCAACTTATGAGACTGGATTAAGGAATAAACTTCTTACGAATATGATCAATGGTACAAAATGTAAATAATTGCTATTTTTACAAATTTTAAATACTCCAAAAATGAAAAGCATACTTTCCCTGACCAATATTCTCAGTACACTCCCAACAATATCTTTGGAATATTAGATCAAGCAAAATATGATGATGAAGAGGATGTATCTGCCAGAATCTGTGAATATGGGAAAAATAAAAATAAAAATTAGGAAAAAAATATGATGAAACAAAAACAGAAGTAATTATCAAAAAATTTAAATCACAGGGCGAAATATGTTTGGATTCTTTAGAAAGCTACCTCAAGTTGCTCTTCAGTAAATAACTCTTTCTGAACATTCCATGTATCAGCATGGGTCCGCCGGAACTCTGCAACTGCTTTTGTAACGGTAGATTTCACCGGGGATGGCTCCCCACTGAAGCGAGCCAGTAGTGTAACATGCTCGGGCAACCAACTAAAAGAAAGTAGTTAATGCTGTCAGATAATGACGAGAAAAAATGCAGTTGAAAAATGGCAGAGTAATAACTTGTGCCTGTGATTTCACAAAAATCTTTTGGATTAATCATTTGTACATCTAATGAGATAGGGGCATCCCATACTTTTGACGTCTGATATTGCTCTTTTTATACTCAGATAAACTCACATTTCTATGTGATGCAGAACTTAAAGATGGCAGTACCAATATTGCAGATGATGCAGGGAGTTCATAATATTGTAAAAATAATGCTCTGTGCACTTTCAACCAAAAAAAAAAAAAAACTATAGTTTTTTGTTTTTAATAAACCAACTAAAAAAATTTGTTGTCTTAATGTGTAACATCATATAACTGGAATTTATAGAGCCACTACTTACATACAAAATTACCAATACATAACCATATTGTATGGATATTATTGCTGGACAAACCTGGGCATGTCATAAGGGGCTGATAATACAGAAGCTGCCAAAGCTAGTACAGCACCATGAACAGATGCTATAGATGAACCAGAACTTGCATTTCTGCATTAGAATTTCCACACTTTATCAGCATGACGTGTTATAGCTAAAAATTAAACAAATGACAATTCACCAGATGATCATATGAGCTGTTTAATTGACAAATCAAAAAATATGTTTGCAAATCTCTTCTTGAGATACAATGCTCTTCATGCCTACACGTTACACAAAACATTTTTATGACAAAAACTGCATTACTTGAGTTAAACAGTTAAGCGTATTCTCCATGAAGAGAGACAAAGTATAAAGTTTAGCATTAATAGGATTTTCGTGAAGGTCCAAAATTGAAACTATATATAACTTCATAAGACCATGCACAAGGGATAATGATAATAAATTAAAAGATATGACCCAGCGTTTAGGCTTTTTTTGAATCCCACTTTTCTACAAAATAACAACTAAACTTCCCAGAAACAAGAGGGAAATAATAACCTCGACTTTCTTCTCTTTTGTACAAGATTTGCCTCTAAATAAGCTCTATCACGGAAATCTTCAGCTAGATCTTCATCTCCACCCTTCATTAAGCCTGCTAAAACTGCAGCAGCATGTTCTCTTACCTAAACCACAGATCAAGTCTTCCAAAATGAGATGATTAAAAATGTAATAATCAGAGTCATATAAGACTAACTGTAAATGGCAACCATCAGTAACGGCTGTAAGCACAAGAAAAGCAACATGGCACAAGTAAGAACATGGTTTCCCTAAAATATATGTTGATATAGATTTTGTCGGCATGAGGAGAACAACAGCCACTGGTAACTAGAAACAAGCATTTTAAAGTATAACATGCTTTCTTCTACAGGTAAGTAACACAAGCTCCCATTTGTTATATGATCTTGGTCCCGTCCACGACCCAGTGCTTGAAAAGGGAAGGAGGAACTATGCTAATAAACAAGTAAGATCCATTAAGGTGAAACCTTTTCTACAAGGTTACCTTGTTCTATAAGGCACAGACATTTCATCCTAAATCACCCAAATTCCTAAATATAAAAAGGGAGAAAAACAAAATCTTTGGCACTTTGATAAGAACTTGCCTCAACTTGGTTGTCTACTAGTAACTTCTCAACAGTTCTCCAAATTTCTTGTTTCTTTGAACTTGAGAGAATGAAAGTGTGCCTGTCATAGAAGGAAGAAAACTTTATTTGCATCTGCTTCATAACAGACAAAAGAAGTAAAGCACTGGACCTACAAGCTGAAAAGGGAAACCTCAAATAAATGAAAAAAATAATTATCAATGAAAAAAAAATATTTATGAAGTACAAATTGCTGATATTTCAAAACAGGGATGTAAATCTGCGAAGAAAATATTACCACATGAAGCTGGAAGTATATAATTACTAAGCATGCAACCATGCCAAAGTAAAATTGTCACAAGATCATCATACCTATACATGAAAGTACGCAGATATGTCAATGTAGCAGATCTAGTTCGCCAGTTGGAATCATTGGCAGCAGAAAGAACGACAGATACGGCCTTCAGGAGGTGAGGATCCCAAACAATCATCCATTTTAGTAATTCAAAAGCTGCCTTGGCTAATGTTGACAAATCCTTATTTGATGTTTCCTTCAAAAGCAAATAAAATTACTCAGAAGTGTGATAACTGATACACTCACTATTTGAACGATGATAAAATCCAAAAATAGGAAATTAAAATAACATTTTTTGTAATTTTTCAATACAGCTTCTCTAAAGTCATATAAATGTGAAAAGAAACATGTTAGCCTTCATTAATTCTTGCAACTCTAAGCCTTTACAATTTCACACTTTCATTTTTGTTTCATCAATCACCGAATTCCATGTAAACACAAGACTACATCTCAATTAAAGTGTCCTTACATGAATTTAGCATAAGCATGAAGGCCTGTCTATAGCAAGAAAAACCATCTCTTACTACTTCATACAAGCACAGTGATGAAGGAGGGCCATGCACAAGTCTTCTTCAACTTTAATAGCATCCAAATATTAAGAGATTTACAGGTTTCTAAAAAGAACCACTTCACCCAAAAGCTTAAGCTGGTGAGTAAAGGTTTTTTAATGGTTATACTATTCTCTAACACACTCCCTCACACAAGAGCCCACTAGGCTTGAAGGGTGGACAATGCACAAGTCCACCTAACTATGCTAAGAAATTCCACAATAGAAAGTGGAGGCCGGTGAGTATCGAACCCGGGACACAAGGCTCTGATACCATGAAAAGAACCACTTCACCCAAAAGTTTAAGCTGATGGGTGAGGGTTTTTTAATAATTTATACTATTCTCTAACAATTTCAAAGGCTAATAATCTAGATTTGATTTTATGCTCTATTGACAACCTTATAACTGTTTTAACGACTTTGGTGGAACCATAATCTTTGAAGGAAGTTAAATATGATAGAAGACCAAGTCAAGACATAGCATCCTATATTTAACTCCACGAAGATGGTGAGATTCCCAAAATTTTGAGTTCTGTGTTTTCATGAAACTCTGATTAGACAAATGCTAAGGGAATCAAATTGGTTCTTAATACTATTAAGAGAATCAGGTGTCTAAAGGACAATAAAATGCATACGCAACAAACCATCCAATTTGAGAAAATGAAACAAATATCAATGAAAGTCTCAAAATAAGTAAAGAAACCAGATAATAGGTGAAACAAGTAAAAAATTCAAATTATTAGAAATACATTTAAATCTATAACCCAAACCTGCAAGGAGATCACAGGATAAAGAAGCCCCACAATCACATCGAGTAGATAAGAGGATCTCCCGGACTTCAATGATGAGATGATGAAGTGGAGTAGCTACATATGTTTGGAATAGTAAACAATTAGCAAATGATTTGACAAGTAAAAGCAAAACATATAAGCTATATGCTTCCATTAGTACCGTTTCCATCCATTTCATATCATCTTGTGAGTCACCATCTAAATGCCCATTTTGAGAACTTGCATCTATGGGGTTCAGCGCTTTGTCAGATTGGGTAGCAATCTGAATGTTTACAACAGCTTCAGCTGCTCGCTCTGTAAGAAACTGAACCCAGCTTTCATCTTTCATCAAATTATCAACATTGCTGTTTTTCCCATCACATGCACTATCATGTTGACTTGAATGATATAGCCGAATGTTAGAACACAACACAGAAAGGGTAACCCCAAGAGCCTCCCTCACCTGTTGCGTAGAGAAATTGAAATAGGTCAGAACCACAAACATATAACAAAATTTGCATCCACTTCATATTTACTTAAAAAAGAAAAAAGACACCAGTTCCAGTGTCTAGCACTTATTTATTTCAACCCCTATCTCCAATTTAAAACATGGATGTGTTGAAAAACAAAAATAGAGATATCATATGTTCATGTACGACCTGCCCAAACACTAGTTAACTAAATTGATTCATTATTTTGATAAAAGTTCATTCATGCAGGGAATTCCCTTTTTCCTTGTGACTATTTTTTTTTTTTTCTGGAAGACATCTCAATGATGCAACCTATTTTTTTTGTTACCAAAAGCTCAACACAAAAAGAGGCAGAGGTAGGCCGAAGCTTACTTGGGGGAAAGTAGTAAAACAAGATTTAATGGAGTGGGATATAGATTGGCGGACAGTATGTCTTAAAACGGAATGGAGAAAAGCTATAAGTATGGTGGAGGGTTAGACCCGCTGTTATTCCTATGTTCCAGATGGTCCCTTTTTAGTCCTTTTCCCCTTCATTTCCCCCACTTCTTCTTGTCCCTTTCTTTTTTACTTTTATTTATTTATATATACATATATTGTTATTTTATTTTATCTTATTTTATATTTTTATTTTATTTGTTTATTTTTATTTATTTATTTTTGGCTTTTTTACTTTTCTTTTTTTTTTTTCTTTTTTTTAACTTTTTTTCAACCGTTTTGTATCTTTCATGTGGGTTCATCTACCACCGACCCCAATTAATTTGGGATAAAGGTGTTGTTGATGTTGATGTTTAAATTCAG